CAAGATGCACAGCTAGTAACTGTTGGAGCAATAAAAGATCAAGATCTGTCTGACTCCAAAGCCCTGGCTCTTTCTATACCGCATTTCTTTTACTGACTGCCTCAGCCACAGTACTCAGCAGGCAAAGGCTAATTAAATTATCCACCATGATGGAATCATTGCAGAGCCAGGAAAGCAATTCCTGAAGTGTCACCTAGACCATTAATATAGTATGCCCTGTAGAGTCAAGTGTGATGTTCAAATTCAGAAATAACTAGATGATGATGATTATAATGATAATAGCATCCAGCTACCATTTACTGAGTGCCTATTATGTTTAAAGTGCTTCATATTCATTACTTCATTTAATCCCCTGAACATCCCAGTAAGAAATGCACAGTAGGTGTTACCTTCATTTTACAACAGAAGAAAATGAGATGCAGAGAGATTAAGAACTCTGCCAAAGATTATACCACAAGTCGAGTTCAGAGCCATAACTTGCACCAAATCTCTATGATGCCCAAGGATGTGGGTGGGGACCACTTATTTTCCTTTCATCCTCTAAAGAGCCAAATACGGGCCTTATACAGGTAAACATTTAATAAATCAGTGATTTTACTTTGAAATCAGGGACACCAAATGCATAACAAAAGGTTAGATAAATTCAGCAGTGATGATATGAAGTGAAGACATGAAGGAAGAAATGATAATGAAGAAAATCCATCCCTGAAGGTCAATGTATATAATAAAGGATCAGACCCCGTTTTCCTCACACTCTCCATCCTAGCCCACCCCTCACTTATTTTCCCACCAGGAAAAGAAGAGCTAAGACAAGCACTAAGATTTGCTCTATCAACCCTAGCACATTGTCAGAAATTATACCTACTACATTTTCCTAAGGGAACTGTATGAAAACAGGGAAATCACCTGCAAGACATCTGATTTAGCAGGTCTGAGGTGGGGCCTATGAATGTGCAAATCTAACAAGCTCCCAAGTGATTCTTACACTGGGCCACATTAGTTTCAATTACTATCACCTTAAAAATTTTTTCTAAATGTATTTGAATGAAAAAAAACAACAAAAAAAAATTCATTCATTTCTCCCATCCTCCATTCCCCCACCTCTGGCAATCACCAATCTGTTCTCTGTATCTATGAGCTTGGTTTTATTTTTTCACATGTATATTTTTTTTATTCAACATAAAAGGGAGATCATACAGTATTTGTCTTTGTCTCCAAGCAAAATACCCTCTCAGTCCATCCATGTTGTCACAAATGGCAAGACTGTATTCCTTTTTATGGCTGAGTAACATTCCATTTGTGTGTGTGTGTGTATGTGTGTGTGTGTGTGTATGAGTGTGTATATACCACATTTTCTTTACCCATTCATCTACTGATGGACACTTATGTTGTTTTCATGTTTTGTAAATACTGTGAATATTGTAAATAATGCTATGATGAACATGCACAACGTATATAGAAAAGTTCAACCACAAATGTATTTCTCAGGATAAGTACCCAGAAATGGAATTGCTTAATCATATGGGAGTTCTATTTTTAATATTTTGAGGAACTTCTATATTGTTTTCCATACTGGTTGCATCAATATGCATTCCCACCAACAGTGCCCAAGGGTTCCCTTTTCTCCACATCCTCACCTACACTTGCTTTCCTAGTCTTTTTGATAACGGCCATTCTAAAACGTGAGGTGATAGCTCACTGTGGTTTTGATTTGCATTTCCCTGGTGACTGGTGCATCTTTTCATGTACCTGTTGGACATCTGCATGTCTTCTTTGGAAAAATAGCAATTCAGACCTTCTGCCCATTTACTAATTGGATTGTTTGGAGTTTTTTGCTATTGGGTTCCATGAGCTCTTTATATATTTAGGATATGAACCCCTTAGCAGATATATGATTTGCAAATAGTTACTGTAGGTTGTCTTTTCATTATTTTGATGATTTCCTTTGCTATGCAGAAGCTTTTTAGTTTGATGTAGTCTCACTTGTTTATTTTTGCTTTTGTTTCCTTTGCCTTTGGTGTCAAATCCAAAAAACCATCACCAAGACCAATGTCAAAGAGCTTACTGTCTATGTTTTCTTAAAGGAATTTTATAATTTCAGGTCTTCAGTTCAAATCTTTAATCCATTTTGAGTTTATTTTTGCATATGGTGTATGACAGTGGTCTAGTTTCATTCGTTTGCATGTGGCTGTCCAATTTTCCCAATACCATTTATTGAAGAGACTATCCCTTCCCTATTGCATATTTTGGTTCCTTCATTATAAATTAATTGACCATATATATAAGTGAACTTATTTCTGGACTCACTGTTCTGCTGCATTTATCTATGTGTTTGTTTTTATGCTATTACTGCTACTTTGCTTACTAGGGCTTTGTAGTAGTTTGAAATCAGGGAGCGTGGTATCTCCAGCTTTGTTCTTTCACAAGATTACTTCAGCTCTTCTGGGTCTTTCACGGTTCCATACAAATTTTAGGACTGTTCATTCTATTTCTGTGAAAAATGCCATTAGAATTTTGATGGGGATTGTACTGAATCTGTACATTACTCTGGGTAATATGGACATTTTAACAGTAATTCTCCCAGTCCATGAACACAGAATATATTTCCATTTGTTCAAGTCTCCTTCAACTTCTTTCATTAATTCTTATAATTTTTCAGTATAAATCCTTTTTGTCCACAAGGTTCAGCCAGCAGAGAGTAAACTAATAATAATTAGAAAGATCATCTTTATCTCCTCTTTGATACAGCATGATTTTATAATGGAGATATAATTAACAAACTGGAGAATAGCCAGAGGGTTGGAAGATACTAGGGTGGAGACTACATGATCTAGATCTGGACAATCTATGGGTCCTCAATGAATTTAATAGATTTTCAAAATTCTCAATGACACATATAATACGCATTTCTTAGAAGGTATAAAGTGAGGTATGGGGGTAGAAGAAAGGGAGTAAAATTTGAATAAAGGGAATAAAATCATAAATTACATAACTAACATGTGGAACCTCAGCACAAAGAAAATAATACTGCCTTAGTCTAGCACAAAACTTTACCTTTTCATAAAAAAAGAGGCCTAATTTTTAGTAAAATAACAGTAACAAATATTTTCCAAACAAACATATTACTTGCAGCAGCATACAAAGTTAACAGCAATAGGAATTCAGTATGTTTCCAGATGATAATAATGAGCTGCAAAAGGTCAAGAAAACCCAAGACAGTACATACAAAATGATGGGGGCACTGTTGTCTTTTATTTACAAACAAAGAAGTCAATTTATTCAGTATCATTATGACAGACCCACCCAAATATGGAAATAGTAGCTTGTGGAGTTAACTCAAAATATGGTACAAAACCACATGTGCTGGACTATGTGGAAAATCCAGTCTCATAAAGCAAAAACACCACCATTAAAAATTACATGCTAGCAAAATTAATAGCTTATAGGACACAGCCTTCCATTAACAAAAGGCAGTTAAGAGGTTTTGTTTTTGTTTGTTTTAATTCAGTTGACATCAGGACACTTGAAGTCTACTGAGGTAACATATCAAAAGTAAATAAAAACTGAAAAAGCAACTGCAAAGAAAAAGAAATTGGCATAGTGGAACTGACACAGTAAAAAAAATATGTATTATAGAATAAAAATTACAAAAAAGTAAATAGATTATGGTACATCCATATGATAGATGAAATTTTTAAATGTGGGAAATGATGGTGATATAAAATTAAATGAAAAGGAAAGATCTACTGATCTTAACTACAGAAAACTAAAAATTTCAAAGAAAAAGAAATGAAAGGAAATATGCCAAAATATTAACAGTCTACCTCTGGATAATGGGATCGGAGTGGTTCACCTCTGTAACTTCTTTTTTATAACCCTATATGTGTTACTTTTATAATCAGAAAAATAAAAACAGAAATAGAAAAGTTAGCACTTTTTTACTAAATATAAAACACTTGAAACTAAAGTATTAGGACAGTTAATAAAGTAACTTAACTGTTGATTATTTTAGTAAATCTTTGAATCATTCATTTCAGTAAAGGGTTGATAAATAGTTGAGAAAGGATAATGTACCTATCAAAATGGAGACATAGTATTTCTAAGTTCCTTCATAGGATTTCTTCTATTCTAATTTCCTCTAGTCACAGGCACCCACTTCAAATCACCTACATATCTTAAATTGGTTTCTTAATCTATCATTGTAGATTACAATCAGTTTAACATCCTAAATCACATATTTTCATCAACCTGCCCAATGATACTAGCTAAGACTCCAGAACCTCCCAGTCATTGAGCTGTTACTTTACATGTAATTTCTTTACTTTACAAACTCAAAGGAAAGTATTATCATCTTGACTTTGTAGAAGTGTGAACTCAGAGATGCTAAGTAACTGTACCATGTGACACTAGAAAGTTGCAGAACTGGGAGTTGAACTCTTGTCATTCAGGTGCAATAATACATCACAGCACCTTTCCACAAAGCTGGCATAACATAATATCCTGTTTTTTGCAATTTTAACACTGCCTCTTTAGGACAAACAAGGACAGAGTTACAGAAAAAAAATAAAATTACAAAGAAACTGTAATTAGAGGAGCTATCTACTAATTATAAAGTATTTCAATCTGTAGCCTCATTATCTTCTACCTGCTACATGTACCCACTGAACACTGACCTCACACAATGGAATCACTCAGTCTGTGGCTAGAGGTAAGAGAATACAGATAAACAGTTGTGGCACACTGTATTTTTCAAAAAATGGGCACAGCAATATTTCCAGTCCCACATGCCCTTTCAAAGAGCTTGCCACATCTTCACCCAGAGGCAGGGACAACTTCCCCTCCAGCTTAAATTGAGAAGGGCCTTTATCAAGGAACAACATGCCTAGGAAAGTAATACCTGTGACTTTCAAAAATAAGCTAAAAGAGGCAATATGGATATAGGTTCTACCTCTCCTTACCCCGCCACCTTCTCCCCTCTCCCCTTTCTCTTTCCCTTTTACCTTTACAACCCAATCATCATGCTGTGAGGAAACGCAGGAGACATGGAAAGGCTGAAAGCAGGTGTTCCAGCAAAGACCCTCAGCCAACAGCCAGCATCAACCGCAAGACATGTCCTGAGCAAGCTTTCAGACGATTCTAACCCTGCCCTTCAAGCCACACAGCTGACACAAAGTGCAGCAGAAATGAACTATGCCAAATAAACCCTTCCAAATCACAGATTCCTGAGCAAAATAAATGTGTTAAGCCACTAAAGTTTTACTGTGGTTTATAAAGTAGCAAGAGGTCACTAAAACAGATGTTTGGGGCTGTATTCACAGCAAGTTAAAGTATTTATTGCAAACTTATATAACTTTCTGCAATTACCCTCTTTTTTAATTAGGTGAACCATAGTCCCTAACTCCTTAGACTTCAGATTAGTCTCTGGAGACGTGAGCCTTCAGGACTACTACTAGATTCTCCTTTTAGAGTCAAACTGTATATCTTGTTGAAATAAAGTATCACCTTAAAAGTTAATGTCACATCTTTTCAGGGGGAAGTTCTAAACAAGGATTCCAAGAAAACCCTCTGAAAGATAAAATTATGGCATCCATGTTTTGGCTTATATCACAAAAGTTATTTGCAGAAAGATACCAATTACCAGTGTTCCCTAGAGTACAGCATTTCCACAAAATATTTTTTTCATTTTACCATAATTGACATCCTATTAGTTTCAGGTGTACATTACAAAATGATCCACAAGCTAAGTCTAGTTACTACCATCTATAAGCACACAAATTTATTACAATAATACTGACTCCATTTTACATACCAGGCTCAGAAGTAAGGATTTAAATATCATTATGTTCTCATTGCTAACTAAGAAACCCTCCCCACTTAACTTTCTTTGGCCCAACTGCCAACCCCTAATGTTGAGCAAATTCACCATGTAACATCCTTCTGACCCCCAGACTATTGAACACTCATGAAGAAAAAAGGCAGGTGGCTGTCAGTGCCAATAAAAAATTACACATTTAGATTCTTGGCTAAAAAATCTTTCTTTGGGAATTCTTACTCTGTTTTATTCTTTGATCATAGAAGTTGTTTCAATCTTTTTCCTCTTTTTAAGTTCTCAACACCTACTAACTCCTTCGCAGATGACCCTTCTTTTCCTGCAATAAACTTTCTAGGTCATTTAACATGTGCCACCAAGCTCCTCCTATAAATTTTAAGTAGATAACTCATTTACTAATAGAAAACTCTGATTTCTTTCCCTCCCAATTCACAAAAGAGTTCCTTTTTTCTCTCAAAGTTTAGCCCACATACCTGTGTTAAACTCTTTTAAGACTTTGAGTCACCAAATTATTCTCTCTTTAAAATCTTCAATCCCTTTCTTATCACAGTTGCCTTTGTAGCAACTGACAAATTCATCCATTTGCCTCAATAAAATCCCTCTCTTAATCCTTTGAATTATCATTTCAACTTTCTCCACTAAATTTTTTTAAAGGAGTCTACATCACTGTATCCAAATTCACTTTCCAATCCCTTACTTGGTTTCTAATCATAGTACTCTACTAGTCACCCTCGGAGGAGTCTCCAGTGGTCACCAAATACCAGATGAGGTTTACTTGGTCCTCAGATACCTTCAAAGCTACACAGCATTTACAAGTGTTCATTATCCCATCTCTGACACTTTCTTGTTTTACCTTCCACAATGGTACATTCTTCTGGCTCTCTCATTTTCTTTCTTTCCATTTATCACAGGCAACTCCTAATTACCCAGACTTGACAATTCAGCCACCAATCTCATATACAAATTCTCCTTTTCACTCATAATGTTACCAACCCAAATTCAAGTTTCATAATATCACTTTTCTGAATCACTAAGATAACCTCCCAAATGCCATGCCTCTATGATATTAGTCCCTAATTTAATAAACTAACTAGTTTGGTAACATTCCTAATGTTTAGCCTGATTATCTCATTCTTCCACTTAAAAAAAGAGGAAGCATACAGATTCAAATGAACTTTGGTTTGAATCCTAGCTCTGATAATGACTTGTCATGAGACCTGAGTAAGTCATAAGTCACATAACTACTCTGGGTCTCTATATTCTCTCTTCTTTAAAATGAGGGTTGTAATATTTATTAAACAAGAGTTACAAATAAATCAGAAGAAACATTCAGGTCTAACGTTTATAAGAAGTTCTAACTTATAAGAAGCATTCTATGACCTTCAAGGGCTGTCCACTGCCTAACAAATAAGATCTACACACCCAATTTTTCTACTCCAATTGCTTCCCCTTTTGCTGCTATGCAGAACCATCACAGACTCTTCAATGAGGCACTGTGTGATTCTGCCTTTTTCGTGTTAGGTGCTCAATCTGAAATGTCCTTTTCCCAAATCTTCCCCTGCCAATTTTCAACCAGTTACTTGAGGTCCAGCTAAAGCTAAAGTATCACATTCTTAAAGGAATGTCTAATGTGAAATAAGCTTTTTTTTCCTTTGGGTTTTACTTGTACCTCTTTTCACTATGTATTCCATTCAAGTTACTTTGTAGACTCATCTTTCATCCTTATTTGAATGTAAACTCTTTGAGGGCCAGGAACTACATATTTTATCCAGTACACTGCTCAGTACCCTGCACTACAAACAAAAGCATTAAAGAAAAATAACAGTGACACTTAAAAGATTCTGAGATTGATTTCCAATTCTATTTATAAAATTTATACTGAATATGTAGCCACCTATCTTATCTATAGGTTCATTATGGATATCAAATAAAAATGTTCAATAACCTCGGACATGTCTAAAGGGAGATATGACTTATTTAGATTATGTAATTGAAATAACAGACAAGAAATAAGATTTCTATAAGTCTGCTTTATGGAGAATAATATGATTTTAACAAGAGTTAAATCCTATCAACTGGGAAGGATAAACCTTGTCATTTTATTTCATTTTTAAAGATAATTTACACAAATTATCAAATAATTCCATTTCAGAAACACTCACACATAACAAATCATCATATGCATGAAGAAAGTACAGCACAAAGCTGTCAATGAAATCTCCAGATTTTACAAAAGTTAATCAGAGTTGATCATTTTTGCCAGACTATATATGTAATTCTCTAACAGTAAACAGAAGAAATAAATAAGCAAATCATATGTAAGAGGAGTGATCACATAGTCAACTACAGTATTCAAGCACAAAGAGATATATTATGAATGAGTATAAAAGACTGTGGTGCAGCTTTTTTTTTTCACACATGTATTCCACAACATAAGAAAAGAAAAAAACCATAGAGATGCATGTAGTATACAGATGCAAGCAAGAGTAGAGTGAAGGAACGGCTGCAAAGACTGGAGAGATTGGGAAGCACCTGCTTCCAGTTTGCTTAGTATATGTTGTAAATAGTACCTGCTCCCTTGGTTGCAAAAGCACTAAGAGAAAACTGCAGTTTTGTACTAGCGTGTGCACATATGTGCTTATGCACTCATGAAGCTGTACGGAAGGACATAACAAAGGTCTCAAAATTCACACAGGGTAAATCTGGATAAGCATCAAGATTAACGTTAATGACGCATCCTTGGAAAGGCTCTACAGATAAGAATAGATTTGAACATAACTCAACACTTAAGTATTCCCCGTGTTCATTCAAATACATTCTGGACTGAGGACCGTAATGCTGTCTGGAGAACGAGGAAGTGTTTTTACTTTGGATGCAATAACCTCTCTCTCTCCAGGTGCTGAATCCCTGACCTCCGTGTATAATAATTAAACCAATTATTTATTTTAAGATACATAATTAATGAATATATGTAAACATTAGATTTCTAAGCTGTAAAGAAAGCACAAATATTTACTTTTCTATCTATGTGCAATAATAAAGATTACTTGCAGTTGACTTGACTGAACATGTGTCTCTGAGTCTCTTAGCTTTTTAACCCTCATGAGTATTCAATCTGCCATTAGGAAATACTTAACTACTCCCAACTCCAATTCCCTTATAAGGGACTATTCAATGGTCCTACTTTGTATCATTGACCTCTTTGAGGATCTGATAAAAACTAAGGGGCTTCTCCACAGAAATACCTATTTAAGTACATATAGATATAAGATTTTATATACCAAAGAGAGGTTTTTATTTTTGTCTAATGAACTTTGCCTTATCTTGCTCACTTTCTCCAAGATTTCCTTTAAGTGTTTCCAGAGCCTAAATTTGTATAGTAATTCCCTCTGGTTCTACCACTTAGCGCCAGGGTCAAGTGACATTCTTGGACTTTTTACTTATAATCCCATAATTCTCTTGCAAATGAGATAACTGCATGCATCATGCTGTACTCTTTTAATTGGTTTTCTTATTTTCTTCTCCACTGGAATACGAGTGAGCTCCTTAAGGCCAGGAAGAGCCTATTTCTATCATGCCTTTCCTAGAGCTCCAGCAACTAGAACACCTAGTGCAAAGTAAGTCTTCATTACCTATCTGTCGATCAAGAAAAGCCATGGGTTTATACTGTTGAATTTGGGCAACAGGTACACACAGAGTAGGGGAGGAAGTGTGTTTCATTCTATTAGCCTGTCTTCTTTTCTATGTTTTTTACATTTTTCAAATATTGGGGTTAAAAGTCTGTAAAAGAGAGACATGTAGTTATGCATTGATAACCTTCATGAAAGAGTCTATAAGTGAACAGAAATTGTTCATTTTGCCTAAGAGAACTAAGATAAATGAATAGAAACCAAAATTTTGGTTCATCTAAGAAAAAAACTAACAATTAAAAGTATCTGAAAATGAAGCTGTTTCCAAGAGAGAAAGTGAAGGCCCTGCCACTGGGCTAGTTATAGTCAAGCAGGAATTGGCCAGTCAGAATGGATTACTCCTTAGGGCATATGAACCATATGGCAAAAATGAATTCTAAGAATCTTCAAATCTGGTGAGTATCTAAACAGGGCTTATTATTTCAAGAGAGATATGCAGAGGTCAATATAAAGATGATTGTTGATTTCATACACTTTATAAAGCATCTACAAAGAATGAAGTTGTATCTCAAAACCAGTTTCCTCACAGGCCTCATCCTGCAGGCTTACTGTCTGAACTCCAGCTTCCCTATCCTTCCTGCAGGTCCTCGGTATGCCCTTTGGCCCCCATGGTCCATGATGCTCCTACT